GTACTGTATATGTACTGTATATGTATATTCAATCATGTCCAATTCTTGGATACTGCCTGGACAAGTCTCTGCAGTTTTCTTGGCAAGGGTTTTCAGAAGTGGTTTGCCATTGCCTCCTTCCTGACAGAAAGTGACTGGTCCAAGGTCACCCAGCTGGTTTTGTGCATAGACGGGACTAAAACTCACAGTCTCCCAGTTTCTAGCCTGATGTCGTAACCACTACACCAAACTGGCTGTTATGTTAAATATAGGTTGCCTTAACTTTTTCTGTGCTACTGTTGACTTTCTCATTTAATTTTTCTTTTACAGACATATTGGAAGTAAGCCATTGACAAAGATTCAAATTAATTTCCCCCAGCTTATCATAATATCTATTCAGATCTATCCAGTTTTTTGTTAGCATATCAAATTTATGTTCAAGGTATGTGGAAATATAAAGACTTTTGTACCATTGTAAAAACAATATCTCATTTTGTATTGTAATTTCTATCATAACAATGTGAGATAAGAGGTTGTTAAAGAACTTCCTATAATTTCTTACTTTGGTACAAAGAAGAATGTCTAAAAAATCCAAATATTGCTTCTTCTGGATCTTTTCCAGCTCTCTTTCATTCTGTAGTGATTTCTTTCTCTCTTCAATTACTTTTTCTATGAAGTAATACAGTATGTGTTAATACCAGGAATGAGAAGTTCTATATATTTGCCTCATTTTATCCCTTGTCTTCAGAGAAAAGGTTGTTATATTGTCCTGGTAGATTAATTTGGTCCTTTTTATTACAATAAAATTTGCAATATGCAAGCTAAGAGCTATTCAGAATAAAATCAGTATACACTGAAATTCCTTAATAGGGGTCCAAGAAAATTCAACAGGGCCTTTCTGATGCTAGTCAATTTTTACTAGTGATGAATAGAAGATATTGTATATTGGCAGGTCAAGGATTTCACTGACATATCTCAAGGCCTAACAAGGCTCATCCCTATTACTAGCAGAATCAGAAAACATTACTTATACAGTAATAAGCCTCACTGAACTCAATAGGACTTGCTTCTAAGAAGACCTGCAGAGGACAACGCTGTGAAATAAGTGGGAAAATAAAATATGCTGCCATTAGCTTTTGTGTGAAGAGTGAACTACTTTTCTGCCAGATAAAACAATGTTTTGAAAACCGTCCTACCTGTCATGTAATAGCTCTTATGTAATAGCATTAGAGGAAAACGTTTCACTCTAAATGGTTTCAGCATGTTTGCTTTCGATTACTGAAACAGTCCAAAAAAAGTTGACTCCAGGCTACAACCACGCCTCTTCCATCTTCATCAGCTGGCTATCTTGGCAAATGAAGATGCCCCTGTAGTGATTTTATCTTACCAAAGACCATGAGAAAAAAGAAAGGCCGCTTTGTGAGCTACCTGTATGATGATGTGCCAGTCTACAGGCCTTTTTAAATTGCTGTCCTGATGGGGTACATGAATATAGGAAATCACTCTGAAGAATCGTAGAGGTGATTCTCGAAAACAGTAGAAGATTTAAGTCAGACACAGCATGGACATAATAATCCAGGTCTCTGATAGAGGAAAGAATGAATTTGTTTTTACAAAAAAAAAAAATACGTATTATACAGATATGATCAATGTCACCCAGCACTCATCTTATTAGAATGTTTTATTATAACAGTTCTGACCTGTCAGTCTGGCAGTTGCTCTGGTAACTGAATGCACATTTCATGATGCTGTCAAGAGTCATTAAACTAACATGGTCAAACATCTCCAAAGACTTCATGGGCTCCTTTGCAATCAGCTTCTCCCATTTATCCTGGTGTGGAAAATAGAGATGGAACAGTGTAAGCTATTTATAGGGTTTCTATGCCAGATGAACTGATGAACTGATGAACTGCCGTACAATATACCACTAAGATGAGTTCAGCTTCAGGTGACTACCTAGATATATCCATATTATTTACTTAGCAGTAACATGGAAGAGATTTCCCATTCCCATTTTCTGGATTTGTTTTCTAATTTCCTAGTTTACTACCCTGGAAATTCTGGTGGTCTCCCATCTAAGAGCTAGCTAGGAATGGCCCTGCTCGGTTTACAATGACTTCCAGAGTTATTTGTGCATCTGCTTGTATAACCTGAAAAAAAAACTTTCCTTACCAGCATAATTTTGGTTGAATCTGCAATTAATGCCACATAGGGTTTCAAAATATTATAGTGAAAAGCTGGTGTTAACAACCGTCTGTGCTGATGCCACTTTGAGCCATTTAAGATAAGCAGTCCTTTTCCTATTGGTAAAAAGAAAAAAAAAGATGAATTACATTGAATTAGGTGCAGATGTTGGTGACAGTGATGATGACGATTTCACTACTACTACCCCTGCTCTGAAAGCGCTAAGAACTTGTTTGTGCTTAGAATAGATTGGCAGTTTATCCCAGGCTTGAGACATTTGAAAGTGCTAAGACAGAGCTGATGGTTGGTTCTAAAATTCCTATGGGTTGACTTCCATCCACAGGGCTTTATGCTAACTAAAGAGGAAAAGGATTTTTAATGATTCATTCTTCCATCTACACTCTTTATTGTTGTTCCCACTTGCAGGGTCCACTTCTTTTGTACTGCACTCAGTGCAATTCTTATAACAAAGCTATCAGTGCATGATATGACAAGGAATTTTGTTTTTCAGCTGACTTAATGCAGAACCTGATACTGATTTGGGCTGAGAGGGTGTGACTTGACAGATTCTAGTCCTCCATTAGGCACAGAAGCCAAGTGGGTGACCTGGGACAAGTCACTTCCCTTCTATACCCTTTACTTCCTTAAAATGTAGATGTGATCATCAGACTTTTAAGGCCAAATTAAAATTCTTGTAAATTCTTGTAAATTCCTCAACTAGGTACCTTTCAGGTGTATTCTGAACATAGTTCCAGATTTTAGTTCCAGTATATACAAAGAACAACAGCCTGCAGAAGACTGGAGAAGATCAAGTTAACACTGGAGAGCTACAGCTCAACAAATAGCATAATGAAATTGTCAGTTTAACTATGTCTGTAAAAAAAGAGAAAATAGAGAAAAATGCTTATAATTGATTTCAATTGTTACACATACCAATCCAAGGAATCAAAGGTTCATAGATGAATTCAGGCTTTGGATCTAGAAAATCAGAACAAAGAGAGTTACAACTCAATGCTACAGATATACTGAAACAATTAATGTATTTGGCAGAGATGAGGTCCCATTAGAAGCTTATTGCATCTTTCTTTCATTGAACAAATAAGAGAGAATTAATAACTCTGAGCCACAGAAATATGTATATCTTATGACAACAAATGCAATTTACATGAAAACATGTGGCTATCAAAATTCATGGCAAAAATAATGGACTGTTCTTTTTCTGGTGTTGCTACAAAAATCCTAAATCCATCATTCTGTGTTTTGTGAAGTATTTCTATCGCATACAGTAGCAGCACCAACTTCTGTTCAGCTCTTAAATTAAATCCATTCACCCTGTTAAAGATTAGGGCAATTCAAAAGACGTGCTTCACAATACTTTGCTGGGGGGAAAGTGAAGTGGCCCTGGATGCCTACACATATAGAAGGACTGCCAGGAATAGTCAATGTGATTGCTTGGTGAGTCGAAGAGAGGTATTTCCTACATGTTGAGAAGCAACTCTTTCAAAGGGGTTGCACAGCCTTATTAAAGGTAATTTTTTGAAAAGATACCAAATATTAAAAGTGTGATGGAATGTATCTATGAAGGGGGGGTGATGTGGTGGATAGCAACAGAGAGCAAGGCTACCAGGAAGGAGGGGGTGCATTCCAGGAAGGGAAAGGAGACAAAAGATAACACAGTCCGCAGGGGGCACATGGGAAGCATAAGAGGTTCAAGATAGCCACTCCCTAGAATCTCCCAGCATATATCCACTAGTTGCAGTAGTATAGATTTAGTCTGGCAAGATTCTGTCTATATGGTGTAAGCAAATAAAGGAAATGAAATCAACTGGACTGTTTCATCGTTGTTCTTGGGCTGGGCCTGACAAAAGTAAGTATGTAATTGGGATATCCTTAGCCATTTCTTGAATCCAACTATAGAATCACAGAATTGGCATATATTTTTTATCACTGCATTTTCCCCATTCCTCTGTCATTCTGCTGAAGTTATGAGTGCACTATTCATGCATTCATGTTATTAAATTAGATTAATACCCCACTTGTCCTCCAGGAATTCAAGTTGCTATACATAGAACTCCTTCCTCCAGTCTTCCCCACTACAACTCTTTGAGATAAGATGGGTTGAGAAAGAGTGACTGACCCAAGACCACTCAATCAGTTTCCATGGCTGAGGATGGACTTGAACTTGGGTCTCCTAAATCCTATTCCAACATCTTAACCACTGAATCACAACAAAAGAAAAATTATTTAGATGTGCAGTGCAAGTTTATACATATTTACAAGGAAGGCTTTAGTGGAGTTTAGTGGAGATCATTAAATCTGAGAATATTTTTACTCTTTCTGAAGTTGTGTCTGAATTGCAGTAGAGAAGAGGCATACTTTAATGAACACGAGGTTTAAAAGAGTTCTCGATTTAATTAGGCGTATAAAGTGAATGCCAAGTATACACAAGCAACACAACTCACTTTTGTCATATGTAGCATTATCACATATTACTATTAATATAAACTTTATAAGAGAAGTTGAAAGCTAACTGAGGCTGTGACAGAAATATTTCCATTAGCACCCAAAAGAACCCGGGGAATGTTCTCTAGTGAAAATCTCAATATATGTATAACTGCAGGGTATCTACTATCCTGAGATGTACTTACCTCCTCTGGCAAACACAGTTTTGGCATACTCTGGGCCAGTGACAACTATAGAAGAAATAAACCCCCCAAACCATCTGGGAAAAGCATAAGAATATGTTTCAGCCCACTCCAACATCAACGTTAGTTCTTCTCTGTGGCTGGGTATCTGAAAAGATGAGAAAATCATGTTTAGTTGCAAGGCTTTGTCTTTAAACCCTGGCACTCATCAGACTCAGAATATTCACCCATCTAAATCGTCCTGGGTAATGCAAACAAAGGCAAGAATGTAAAAGGCACACATAATGTAAGGCGCACATAATTAAGAAAAGATAGTATATTTCCTGTATTAGTCACCTTGTGTGAGATGGGCGGCCATATAAATTTGATGGATAAATAATATTAATAAATTAGCCGCTGCTTGGATTTCTTCCTGGAATATAGACATTAGAATGAAGTTATTTAATTGACAGAAACAAAGCCACAATCAATGATTTAAAAATAATCAATACTGTAAAAGGGCCAATTATAATCTTTAAGCAGTTTCAAGGTATTCTAGGAATTAAACTGTCTCCCGTTATGTCTGAAATTCACTGTCTTCTTCTGCTGCATTATCTCTCCATATATTTTACTGCTTCTTACCTGATGGATGTTTCCGTACAGCCAGTGAGAAGGAGGGCCTGGGAAATTCTTATAAGCTTTCAGCTGCTTTTGTCTCTTGTAATACAGCTGGATGATTTTAAGCAGGACATAAACAAGACAGAACCCAGAACAAATCAGTGTGAGCTGGGAGAACCCTGGTGTTTCCTCCATCATGAATACCATGATGCAGAAGCCTCTGCAATAGTGTTACTTCACTGGCTGGGTTTTTAAGCTTATCGAGGAGTAAATAAGCTGAAAAATGGGTGTTCCTCAGGCGGATCTTTTGTTGCAACTTGATTTCCAGTTCTATTCAAACTTTCCCAACCTTTAATGAACGGCTTGGGAATAAACTGTAAATAAAGTTCGCAGTTAGCTTTTTATCTCACCTAACCTTTGCCTTACAAGTCATTATGAGTAAGGCAGCATGAGTCAGCACATTTCTCTTTCTTTCATCAGTAAAATAAAATTACATTTCATAAGACAAATCACACTCTAGGAGATCATAGGTATATGGTTTTACCTAACCTTCAGTTAAGATATTTACCTAACTTTCTGTTTGCTTGGAAATGTTTTATTTTAACTCTGTTTTTTCTGAGATCCAAATGGAGGCTTGGTATCAAGCAGGGAGGTATCGTCTGTGGAAGCAACTGAATTTGTCCCAAGCAATGGATCTCTTGAGTGCTAATCCATGCTTATCAAAACCTGATGTCCAATAAGCAAACAAAAGGGGGCCCTTTGCTACTCATACCCTTCCCAACCATTCAGGAAGTTAAAGCCTCCAGAGTTTGAGCACTTTTTCCCAACCCTTTTGCATTGGTGAGCCCAGGAACAGGAACTCTTCACCATGAAGGTAACATGGTGCATTCACAGGGAAAGCCTGTTCCTCTAATTCTCTCCTCCTTCAAGTTCTTTGCTAACTGTAATCAATAAATGCAAGCCAGTTTGGCAAATTATAGCATGCTCACCCAAACTATGACATTATGGAACAAGTAAAGAAAGAGGGGGCTGATCTTTCATGGAGGTGAAGGCAATAGGACAACCTAAGTTCCATAGACATCTCCAGATTTTGTTACCAAATTGAAATTGTAATGTGATGGAAGGGGGGAACATTAAATAATTGAATATAAATATAAAATGAAATGTTAATCCAATATTAAAATTATAAATGAGATGAAATCAAAACTAGTTGGTATACTGGCTCCTTTTGCTCGAATGTTCCCAGTATGGTGTTGAAAAATCAAGCATTAGGCCTTGAAAACAAGGGTGGCTCTATAAGTCCATTTTGTGAATGGGCAGAATGCTGAGTAAAGTCTAAAAAGGATTGAAGAGGATTATTCTTTCTAAAGATGGAAAGTGGAGTACCCTTTCCATTAGCCATTTTTAGTTTCTCTGCTTCCACAAACTTTATGATGCTGCTAAGTCCCTGGAAGAAAACTCAAGGATGGTGCTCCTTTATAAGTTTCAAACTATAATCTTCAAGAAACTATATATTTAATTGAGATTAAATGGTAGGATCTGGTTTTTTAAAAATCCATTCTCCATATCAGTGCAAGTGTGTACTGTCACTGAACAACAGAATGACTACTGTAATTATATATTCTCATGAGCAAACACTACTCCACTTGATGGCAGCTGAAAAAGAAACAGTGTTTTCTTTTTTTAAAGTTTACCTTTCTCAAATATTAAGCCAAGAGAGGAACAGCCTTTCTAAAAGATCTCGGAATCACTGTAATCCTTCTAGTTAATGGGGGGAGATACTAATCTGAATCCAAACTCAGAAGAGAATCTTCAGTGATGTGGTTGGTGACAGTGTATCTTTCCACATTATCTCCCTATTTGCCCCACCATCATTTCTGTCACTGTTACTTGAAACTCACATGTCCAAGCAAATGTCTTGTCAGTTTTAGTGAAGCCTTCACCCAAGCAGACAAACAAACTGAAGTATTATGATATGTACCACTGCTGATGTGCAGATATGTTTTTATTTATTTTTCTTTAAAAAATGTGCAAATGCTGGTAAAAAGGTAGTGGTCTGTTGTAAGGAGTACATGTTCATGGAATAAGCAAAAAATGGCTGTGTGTAAGCCATATAAAAGTGAAAGTTGGTATGTACTGTACTCCTGGATGGAGGAATGCAGTGGGAACAGGGTACTTAAGTAGTGTCTGTAGTAAAACAAGAAGTGACCAAGTAAAAAAATGAATGGATGCTGAATGAATATGGATACAATTCAAAAGTGAGCAACCAATACAAAAGAAGTATATTGTGGTGGTTCAGGATACAGGCAGCTTGAACAAGTATCAAGTGTATGAAGGGTCAAAATTGGGTCCAAAGGAAAAGGAAAAGTGAGAAACTTGTAATTGGATGGAGCCAATGAAATCCTCAGAAAGAGGGAGGCGAGAAGTTTAAAGAACCAAAGGCAGTCCATGGATGTGGTGGAAGTACTGGTTATATGCCACAGTTTATGCTTTGTAAGTGATCAGGGTCCTTCAGCAACTAGGTAAAAAGTAAAAGGCGCACAGAGTTGGTTTCGAAACATAAATGCTCATAAAAAATCCAGTAATTAATGAGTAATCCCTAAAGGAATGGAAGCTGGCTTCAAACAAAGACACGTGCAAGAAATTAGGGCATCTAGAAGGTCATGAGAGATATGTTGATACACGCTTACAACAGCTTTCCTATTGCAGTGTTTTTGGACTGGGTATGCTGGAACAGAAGGATTTTAATATATCATAGTGGCTAAGTAGATCAATGGCTTGTCATGAAGGCTATATCAGGATTATTATCTTTACTGCTGTTAGGGTATTATAAAGGCAACGTCCATGGGCCAACCAATGACTGGGGGTCTGAGCTACTGGGGGTCTGAGAAAGGAAGGCACCTCTTGTTCTTGTTTCCTAAAGGCTGGGGTGCTTGGCCATCTCATTCTCCTGATCTGGGAGGAGGAAACCATAGTGCATGCAGTTCCTTTCAACAAGTGCTTCTCTGCAGTGTGTCTAGAGCTCTCACTAGGTGGACCAAGGAAGTCCAGAGGAAGTCCAGGGATGGCTATTCTCTCCACTCAACCACTGTGAACTAGAAGTAACCACCTGGGCTGATACAGAATTGCAGCTGCTACAGTGAGAACTGTCAAACCCTGTTTGCTGGTTGGGGGAGGGCAGGCCAGCTAGCAAGATGGGCAAAGAGCAGTGTGATGTGGGTGATGCTTCTGTTCCAAAGCAGTGGCAGGAAAATTCCCCACTCTGCCCAGAGACCTTCTGTGCATGCCCCTGGGTGTTGAGCCAAAGGGACTGTAGCAGGAGATCCCAAGCCAGGCAGATCACAGCAGGGAGCCTCTGCTAGGCCCATACCCAATGCTCAGCTCTCAAATGGAAGAAGTCACCAGTAGTGGGTCCCCTTGAGCTGGTCCACCCCAAAATGTACCCCATTGGCACTTCAGAAGCAACAACCGGGATTCTTTGCAACAGCCTTGATTGTCAAGACGACTCAACTTTCCCCAGTCTGAGGCTCTAGATAGGTTTGACAATGGCTTCCATTATCCCCAATCAGCATGGCAATAATAACAATGACCTCTTTTTGATTCTATTAATATTATTGTTGTTGGATTATTGTTGCCTAATTTAGATAACACTTATGGGATATATCAGAACTTCCAGTAATGATATACCAATACCAATACTTTAATGGCCAAGTATAAAACATAAACAAGGAATTT